GCCCAGGTGCGGCAGGGGCTGAAGAAACAGGGCATCGACGGGCGGGACAAGGCGGAGCGGTAAGGGGGGCAGCGCCGGGTCGTCCGTGTGAGGGACCCACCTGGAGGGCTTGGGTCGTAAGTGTGTCAGCCCTTTCATGCCTTCTCCGGAAAGACTCAAACCTTCGTGGTGCTCTGAAGAGATGCTGGTTTGGCCAGAGTAGCTCAGATCCCTAGGCTGTCTGTCCTGAAGACTGGACGTTTGTCAGCCGGGTGGCTTATTGCCTTGAAAACACCTAAAACCACCTAGATTGGTAGGAGAGGCAGGGAGGAGCGTGCCCTTCGGTACTGTGGGCTGTCTGCGTGAGCAGTACTAGTCAGTATTTTTTATGCAGCTGGAGATGGGGGATGCAGCTTTTTGGTGGATTGAGTGTGTTTTCTGCATACCCCAGCTGCCAGAGGCAGGGTGCCTCATGGCTTTCTGGAAGTAGCTGCTCATTGTTTCTCTTTTTTTATTTTTGGCATCTTTTTTATTTCTCTCTGGCAGATGCAGTCATCAGGTATGAAACTTAGATTCTGCATTTTAAGTTCATCTTGTCTGTAAAGCTTTGTTTCCTCCTGTGTGCTGTATCAGTGTTATAACTAGTTAAATAAAATAAAACACTGTAAAAAATACAAGAGACAAGGCACTGTACGAATGATAGAGCACTGCAATGGTTTGGGCATGACAGTGCCCAGTGCTGAACAGCTGACCTGAGAGGGATTAAATGGACTGAGTCTGCCTGCTTTCTGCAGCCCCTGTACACAATACCAGTCATGAGGGCTGCTGGCCCAGCTGTGCCCTCTTGGTGCTTGTGGGTGCTCTGATTTGTGTCATGGGTGACCACCAGAAGCAAGTTGTGTTTCAAAGCTTCAGCGTGTCCCCCAGGACTGTAAAAGTCAATCCTTGGAAACAGAAGTAAAGAATAGCAGATGTGGGAAGTAAAGGAGAAAATACCTGCATTGTTCATATGAGTATTTTGTTTGTGCTCCTCAGGATTTCCAAATGCAAAATCCTGTACAACTCCAGCAAGCTCCATGCATAAAGTGGGTCCTCTAGCCTGTAGGACCTCCCAAAACCTGTTCTTGGAATAGCATCAGTTAGTAGCAGGCAGCTTTTCAGAGGTGGTCTAGCAAAGCCTTCAGCTGTACAGAAAGAGATGGGCAAAATTTCACACAGAGTTGGAAGCACTGTAGGCACAATGGCAGCTGGTCATGACTCCTGGTTCAGAAGTAGTAACCAAGAGAGATTCACCCTGTCAGCTGCCTGTCAGAGTGAACTGTAGAGCTTTTTGGTTTTTATGTTGTAGCTACTGGGTTGTCAACTCAAGTGCTGGAAGTATGTCCCCCCAAACTGTTTTGCCGTGTGATCTCCCAGTGGGGTTGTTTTGCAGCTGCTCAGGCATCAGCAGTTCTGCCCCATGGGTGATCAGCATAGGATTGCAGCAGCAGCAGGAACAGAGTCGGACCAGCGTCCCCAGGTTGGGGTGGACAAACAGCTTTGATGTTACTGGAGACCTTTTGCAGGGACAGGTGGCTGTGGACACTCTGATGTTCTCTGCCAACCAGTTCCCTTAAGTGAATCTTCTGTGAAGCTCAGCAGGCCTTGATCTAGGTAGAGCCATCTCCTTTCCTGTTGGCAGACCTGGAGACTTGGTTGAGGAGGGCAGCAACAAGTCTGCAGGTTTTGTGAAGGCTTTTCTGGTTGCAGAGCTGGTAGTGACTTCTTCAGGTTTCGCATGTTTCCTAGTGCTTGCTCGTAGCAGCTTTTACATGATTCTGGACCAGTCCTGGCTAGCTTTCAGATAATCTCAATCAGTTCATTCTTCAGAAATTAAGAAGTATTGCATACTTACATGGGAATTTCTCAAAAAGTGGTAGCAGTGGCTCTTGAGGGGTTCTTTTGTTGATGCTTCAGTCAGTTTCCTGTGGGTAGCGAGACATTAGAAGTTCTTTGAAGTTTTATGTGGTTTTTTTTGTCCTCATCCTTGTTGCAAGTATGTTGTTTCTGCTGCAGTAGTAAGCAAGCTAGAGAAAAAGCAGAAATTCTGCAAGTGCAGGGCAACACTAATATTCTTCCTATAAAATCCATCTCCTACATCCCTGATGCGCTTCTGGCACATGAATGATCATAGAAGAACTTAGAAGTTGCCATAGTCATCAGATTTCCAAGCCTTAGTGTCTGTTGCTATGCCCCCAATAGTTTTGCTGTGCTATAGTAATTCTTTGCTGCATAGTCCTGCTGGAGGCAGTGACAAATGCCTGGGCACAGGAATCTGTTGCTGCAGATTTATTTCTACAGTGAAGGAAATCTCAAGTTTACGAGTGGACTCTGTGGAGGATATTTCCTAGTTAGCCTCAGGCATTCGGTATGCTACTGCTGTTACTGGAAATGGGATGAGAAGTCCCATTAAGTTTGCTTTTGTGCAAAGCGACACTTCTCGTTATACCCGTTTATCACAGACTGAAATTATTTCTTTAGTTCTCTGTCTGTGCTAATTTAACACAGGTATTTTTCAGGACACCTGTGCATCTCGCTTGTGCGAATGGCCACGTGGATGTTGTTGCATATCTGGTAGAAAACAAGTGCCAGCTAAATCTTTTTGACAATGATAACAAGTCACCACTGATGAAGGTATGTGTGAGATGTTATTTTCTTCTAAGTGGGGCTTACTGATGATGCACTTGAGATGTGTATTGCAGGATTCTTTAGACAGACCCGTGTAGAAAAAGACATTGTGATTGGCACAGAACAGGCTTATGTTAACTAACTTTTGAAAATGCTCTGTTTTCCAGCATTGAGGAGCTGGGGAAATGGTAATAGAGGGAAATGTAAATGCTGGAATCTTACCTTTTTGTGTGTGTTGTTGCCAGGCAGTACAGTGCCAGCAGGAAAAATGTGTGGCTATTCTTCTGGAGCATGGTGCTGACCCAAATCTGGTAGACACTGATGGCAACACTGCCCTGCATCTGGCTGTCTTGTCTTCTAGTACAACTGTAGTGGGGCTGTTACTTGATCATAATGCCAATATTGATGCCCAGAATAAGGTATTTTTAATATTTATTAAGGAGATTCTTTCAGAAAGTTGCATTATTATTTCTCTTGAATATTTTTTTTACTTTGATTTTCAGTTTGATTTATTTCTCTGTCCTATCAGGAGGGATGTACTCCACTTACTCTTGCTGTCTCTGAACATCAAGAAGAGATAGTAGAGTTCCTCCTCAAGAAAGGAGCTGATGTGCATGCTCGAGATCAGTGTGAAAGGTAAGGGGTTTATCAAAATGGGTCCCTTTGGTATTCTTTAGGTTGAATTGCAGATAGGCATGAGAATGAGATCTGAAAAAAAAGCAGGGACACACACATGGAGCTATTTCTGTGTAATTTGTGAAAGCATGTCTGCACTTGGCTGCTGTCATACCTCAGTGGATGGTTTCTGCATTGAGGATTGCAAAAGGGCATTGTCTGTCAGGAAGTGTTTCATAACCTTAGCAGCATTGCCTCAGTTCCAAAAACCATATGCATAGCAGCATAGTTTGCAGGTAAGTGCTGTATATTTGGAAGGTTATGTGAACATTTAATTGTTTTGACTCCCTCTCCCATTTTATTGTTGCTTTTAATGGAAACTGCTTTTTCTTTCCTTCACTTTAAAGTAATGGGGAAAATACTTTTCTGAGAGCAAACAGGAATGAAAAAAATCCGTGTCTGTGTAAAATGATCTATTTCTTGTCATATTTTGGATCTTTCAGAACCCCACTTATGACTGCTGCTTCTGCTGGGGAGCTTAGTCTGATAAAAGTTCTTCTTCGGTATGGTGCTGACGTTACCCATAAAGACACTAATGGCTGGACAGCTGAGGATTATGCTGTTATTCATGGATATTCCAGGTTAACTTTCAACTTTATAATTAGAATAAGTTGGCAGTTATCAGTGTGGCTTTTGAATATTTTTGGTAACAGCAGCAAGGTTTAATCATATGTTTAGACCTTTCTTGAAGCTGTGCTCAGTGATGTGTTCTGATGCATATTGTTCCTGTGCTAGTGTTAATTTGGAAGTTGAGGAAAATTTCTACCTAGGATTCTCTTTTACATTTCAAGTTTTGTTGTCAAGCTCACATCTGCCCAGTGTCCTTACTGACTTCCACTACAATGAGCAAGAACTGTCTGCCTTTTGTTTCAGAGGAGATCTGACAAATACCCCTTTTGTTAAAATCTTAAGCAGTTTATTCCTCTGAAGCATAGCTTTGTAGCCATGGGTGTTCCTGCTCTAAGGTGGTTACATGTGCTTAAAAGCCAGGCTGAAAAAATGTACTAAGCAGGAGTTAATTACTTCAAAGGTATGAATATGCGTCTATAAGATGAATGTAACTGTAGTGCTTATTAAAGTATGTAACAGTTCTTTGTGTATTACCTTTAACAAATACTTAAGAGTATATGAATTTGTACAGCTTTGAATATGCGTAGGGTGGAGAATAAGTGGCTGTTAACTATTCTGCTGTATGGTCTATGAAAGTATGTGGTTATTTTTACCAAATACATTTAATATCTTTCTCCAAACAGTCTTAGTAAACATCTGGCAGAACATGCAGACTGGGAAAACACAGGAGAAGCTTCTGCAGGTGGTGCACAAGGCTTCACAGTACTTGGCACTCCTTACCGGGCAGGAGCCGCTGGCTTAACTTTGGGCGCACCTGCTGTCGACAGAGGAGGTAGGATCCTTAAGTGTGGAGGAGCTCATGAGGAAAATCTAAGTGGCCTTTTCTTTAGGTGGTTTGTATTGTTAACGCTTACTGTGTTCAATGTTGACTTAAGTGCAAGCATTAGATGGAGTAGCACAATATGTTTTGGGAATGTGCTTATTTGTTGCTAGTTGGAGATGCTTCTTGTCAGGCTGTGAAAGCAGCTGTGATTTGTGTGCTACATGTCCACATACTGTGGTGTTACTTTCTACCTGTCAGGTTGCCCATCTCTATAGGTTTTCCTACAGAGAGAAAGAAGAGGGGCAGGGAATGAACTAGGCCAGAGTGGTTTTATTTTTTAGGTATGTACTTTTACCTGTAAATAGCCATTCAGACTATGCAAATGCAATTGCAAAAGCAGTAGGTTCATCCCGAGTAGTTCTTCAGCTTCCTGTAGTTGGAAAGCAGCAAATGACTTAGCAGGAAGATAAATGTCTTGTTGCTGTCCACAGAGTTTTTGTGTCTTTGTTTTAATATTAATAGTTTCACCTGCTCTAAGCTTCTTTTAATGAGTTATCTCCACAGAGTCCGCTCATAAACTTGAGATTTCCTTCACTGTAGAAATAAATCTGCAGCAACAGATTCCTGTGCCCAGGCATTTGTCACTGCCTCCAGCAGGACTATGCAGCACAGAATTACTACAGCACAGCTGTTTGGGGCACAGCAACAGACACTAAGGCAAAGATTCAGATTTCTAGTATGTCTGCAGTGGCACCTTTTTTTATCTACTGCACTGCATGTTAGTGTATTGTTCCCTCAGTGTTTCCCAGAGTCCCTGTGTAAACTGATGGTTTTTCAGTGTAAAGATATTGGAAGATAAATTAATGTTTCATTGTGATTTACATCTCCTGAGGTCAGGAAAAGATGTGCTGTATCACCATTTAAGAAAACTGAAAAATGGAAAAGGGCTGAGAAACCACCTTGAGATCTCTTTAAGTATATGTTTTTAATAGGAGTCCTTTTGCCACATCTGTTCCAAGTATTTGTAGTAAAATTGTTATAAGCAGCATTCCCTTCTGTTCTGAGACAACTCTTATGGCCTTGTCATGAAGAAATATAGTGGTGTGTAGCTGTAAGAACAGAACCACACCCTTCATTTACTTGAAATACAACATCTAACTAGGCAGGCTGGGTAGAGCAGGTGGATAGTGATTTATATTCTGAAATGTGTGTTCCACACTACACAGACACACATACGCACACAAACACACGTGCATGACTCTTGTACCAGTCAGTGCACCCATTTTGGTCCAGTTGTGGCCTGCCCCATAGCCCAAGGGGAGCAGGGTTGGGGGTAGACTGCTTGTCACGTTTGCATTCAGGCTGGTGGGCATAGCTTCTACATGGTCAAATCAATATATGCAGGACTCTCTCTTCTTCAGACTGAGGTAGGAGGGGCCTATGTTTGTATTAGGCACCAACTGATACAACTTGTAAGGTGAACTCATTTAAGGCAGCAACTTTCTGTTGGCAACAAGCTTTTTAGTGAGGGATAACAACAACTCTAAAACTGTAACTTGATTGAGTGTTAATAACACAGTGACTCGAAGCTGCATGGTGGTGTGAGTAGTGAGAGCCAAGATTTCCTCCAGAATTTCTGGATAGTGTATCTCTAAAGTTTAGTTGTTGGCATCTAAGGATTTTAGGGATGCTTAGAGGGAGGGATTTTAAGTTTGCAGTATGTATAAAGCACTCCGCAAATAAGAAGGAATGACATCTGCAGTCTGTGCTAGATGAGGACTAATCAAGTTGAGGGAAATAGAAAGTTGGCAGCAGAGTAAATTTCTAATAATTTGTTTCAGTATTTCACAGTATTGGAATATGCGTATTTTACATGGAGCAAGTAAATTAGGTTTTAGTGTTTGACACTGTCCCTTGAGAGTAAAGTTCTGTAGATTGTGATTACTTTTATTTCTAGCACTTAGAACTGTAAAGTAGGCTGATAGTCACAGTGTGTTCTCCCATTGCCATAGCTTTGTTGGTGTACTGCTTATGTTTTCCCCATCTCTGGAAATTCAGATTTATTCTGATGTCATTGTTTCATCTGTCCTTTCCATGCCTTTTCCTAACTGGATATAGGAATGCAACAATCTCCTAACCAGACATCAAGAACAGGAAAATCAAGGAAAGGTATTCCATGCAGTAGCATTTCAAATATGAAACATGTTGTACGATCTATAAGTATTAACACATCTATGATGTTAACTATCCTACTGGTCCCTGTTTTGATGGTTCTGGCTTTAAAATTAGATTTGAGAGCAGGCTTTGAGTACTTTTTGTTTGCATGTTTTTGCGTGGGTCCTTTATTATTGAATTGAGCATTTACTTTGTGTCAATAGTGATAGTAAATTTAAAAAATGCTCTTCTGATACTCTAAAATGGAAATGGACTTCAGTTAAAGCGGAAACAAGCAATCCCCAGAGACTTCTTGTTTAGATCCCATTTGTATAGTAGGGCATCAAAGTCTGTCTGAAAGCTAGCTCATGAACTTTCTTGCCTTCTAGAGGACAATGTGACCTGCTTTGATCATTTTTGTTTAAAGTTACTCTACATTGAAAGCAAAAGTTCAGATAACTTATTCAGCTGGTTTGATCAATAACTGTACTCATTAAAAATAAAACGGAAGTCACCTGTCAGGAGTTTATAACTGATTGGTCCATGGTGTCCACCTAGTTCTTAGACAGATTTTTATTCAGCTTGAGAGGTTAGCAGGTGTATTAGACTGCTAGTACTAAGTGAGTTAACAGAAAACTGCAGTATGTAAAACTAAGTAATATTTTTAAATGTTAGGTGTTTGTAATAGGAAACATTCAAAATCAGAGACTGTGTTGGTATTTTAACTGTTTTAGCTTGTCCTTGCACTGGAAGTTTCAGCCTCTATGTTTTGTCTACATGATATGTGCACACTGCACATGTACATTGTGTTTCATTGTCTCAAAGCCCTGTTCAGGTCAGGAGTTTTACTCATTAAAGTCTCCACATAAGCCTTCTCTTTAGGACAGATAACATTTCCATGCTCCTTTGTGGTTTACTGTTTGTAGAGGAGATGCCCTCAGGCATTACATATGCCTTTGTTTTCTCTTCTCTAATTATTTTTTCCAAGACCTCAGTTTAGTTCTCATCATGTGACTTCAGGGAAGGTCACCCATCTCCTGTTTGTAAGCAACTTTCATTTTGTTATGATAGCTCACAAGAATTTGTTCTTGAGAACTTGAGAAAGCTGAAATGGCTACTATGTGGAGGCTATTTTGCTTTGTTTTTTTCCCTTTTGTCTTGGGAATTGAAGGACCCTTTAACTTCATTGTAGTTATTGGTAATTGAGAGGTTTTAGCACTCTTCAGGCTGAGTTCCTGAAATTCAGATTTCTTTAATACATTCGAGAAGTGCTGGAATGCGCTATCATCAAGTTTGCAAATGACCCCATTTGGGAGGATCAGTAGCTACTCTTGAGGGCAGTGTTGCTGTTCAGAGGGACCTTGACAAGCTGGGAAAGTGGACTGTCAGGCCTGTCTTATGAAATGCAGCAAGGGCAAGTACCAAGTCCTGTACGTTGAAAGCGAAAACCACTTGCTATAAAACATGCTGTAGCTGCCTGGGAGGAGAGTTGCTTTGCTAAGATGGCCCAGAGGGTCTTGGCAGGGAGTGAGCTGAGAATGAGCCAGCAGGTTGCCCTGGCAACCGAGGTGTCCTGGGCTGTATTAAGACCAGCATAGCCAAGGGACAGAGGAGAGTGCTTGTCCACCAGTACTTGACACTGACTGGATTGTGTCCAGCTCCCTGGGTATAATTTTGAGCCCCCAGTGCAAGAGAGATTGGTCTTTCAGCAGTAAGCAAGTTCAACAGCCCCAGGGGGAGGCATCAGATTTGTAAGGAGTAGGAGTACTTGTCCTTTGAGGAGTGGCTAAAGAAACCAGACTGCTTCAACCTACAGAAGAGGCGACTTTGAAGTGGACCTAGCAGCAGCTTCTAGTACATAGAAGGAGAAGACAAAGCCAGGTGCTTCCTAGTGGCGCATGACAGGAGGTGGTGAAATAGGAGGCATAAATGGGAACAAGAGAGTTTCTAATTGGATGTGAGAAGCTTCACCATAATGAGGACAGTAATACAGAGAGGTTGTACAGTCTCCCTCCTTGGAGGGACAGGACTGGATAAAGCTCTAAGTGACCTTATCTGACCTCACAGCTGAGCCTTCTTTGAGGAGGCAATTGGCTAAGAGACTTTCTGAGGTCCCTAAATGACCTGACTTATCCTACATTCAAGTTGCCTTCATGACACTGTTGAAAGCTTGACTGTAGTATAGGATGCCCTCTTTGTGCCCCTTCTGTCTGTTGTAGAAAACTGCTGTTTTTCTTTCTATTGTAGAAAACTGCTGGTGGTTCTTCTGTGTGAAGTTAAGCTGTAGATCTTGATTATACTTTTGCTTTTATTTGCCTTTTCAGAATAATCCGTAACTGGGTAGAGCAGCAGATAGTATATAGCATAATGTTATACATAATGTTATATAAAATAGTAAAATCTCTGCATGTGAGGTGTACTCGTGTGTCATGAGTGCTTTGAAGTTCCATTTGCTGACTGTCTTGCTAAATCGCCACTGATTTGTTAACTGTTTACTAATATAGCATATTCATGCTATGCTATTTTTTTGGTTTGCAATTTAAAGATGTTTCCTCAACTTCTAAGTATAAGAGTCCGGAGAAGATAGAACTCTGGTCTTATTTTATGTTGTGGTTTTGTTGTTGTTTTTGTTGTTGTTGTTTGTATTGTGGGATTTTTTTGTTTTGATTTTTGTGGTGATGTTTTGGTTTTCTGTGTTTTGTTTAGTTTGGGTTTTTTTTTAATTAAGTATGGCTTGAAAAAGCAGTTGGTTTAGAAATGCATTAGTGCATGCTGTCTGGTGTTGAATTGGCTACCCAAAGTTTCATTCTATTATGACCTGTAGAGGCGTCCATGTTAAATGTTTATATGTACTGGTTAATTTTTAGCATGCCAAATCTAATTTCAACATGTCAATTCATGTTTGAACAGCAATAGATGACGTTTCCCAAGGAGACTCAGTAAGGTGAGTCATTAAAAATACCTAACAGTTCTTTGAGGGATGATTTGAGAGGGACAGTACTCACTCTGCTTTACTTTTTAAGAAGCTCTGAGAAGGAGAGAAGTGATGACAGTTGGCATACTTCTGAAGAAGAAGAACTCGATTTTACCCCCAAGGTATGGTGCATTTAGAGGAAAAATGTCCTTTAAAAATAAATTATTTGAAAGCAATTTTTTTCTGGGATAGAAAGAAACTGGAGTTCCAGCCAATATTGTTTTCTCCTTAGAAGCAGTCTCTGGCCTACTTGCCTTTCTTCTGCTGTGAGTTTTTTCTGAAAGACCTGTAGCTGTGGCAGAGCATGCAGTAGATTTGTGACTTGGGGCAAAAGAGCAATAGTTAGTGAGATAAACAACCACATTGTTTTATTTCTTCTTGTTCATCTGGGTCAGATTTGCAGACCCTGAAAGTTTCTAAGTAACTATTGTAATCTGTTTTTCTCCAGAGATTGTTATTGTTTCATGCAAAATTTGTTGATAAAATCCTAACAGACAAAGGGCATTTCATTATCAAGATCTGCTGAAATGCTTCATCACCCAGTTCTTTCCTCCTCTTGAGGTTCCTGAAGAGCTCTCAATGGATGAGTTACACAAATGGGTTGTCTTTTTTTCTTCTATGAGATGGCATTTCATGCTTGCGTGTAATCTCACACTCCATGTTTTCTCTCTTTTTTGAATGCTCGGGTGGTATTCTTTTTGTCAGCTACAAGCTCTTGCCCCTACTATTTTCACTAATGTTCTAAAGAATTGCCAACTTCTGCAGTGATGTTAGGACCATCTGTTCTGTTGCACTGGGATTCTGCAGTGATGAGGAACCTGAGTGTGGCAGTTCAACCCACTATGTAATGCTGGAGATGCTAGCATGTTTAGTTTTAATGTTATTTCATTTTCTTGCATTTATTTAAATAGATGTTACACATTTTTCTGGCATGATACTGAAATGTAGGGATATTTTGATAAGTGTATTTGCAGGGTCTAATTTATGCATTATGTCTAGGCATCTTAACAGTCACTTAAGTCGTGCACATTTGCAAGTAAGCATTCTGAAACTGCCATCTTAAAGGTAGCTGAATTTTACTAGATTTTAGATTAAAAACTGATTTTTTTGAACTGTTACGCATGTAAACATAGTTTTGTAAACAATTTGCAGAATTGCACAATGTTTTGGGGTGAAATTCTGAGTTGGATATGTGAGGACTGTTTGTGTAGCTAGAAGCATAGAATGGAGCCAGCACCTGAGCATTATCAAAAGGACAGCCTGATTATATCTATACTGTTCAAGGTTTGATGTGAACATAGTATTTGTTGTTGTTACTGGTTTTTTTCTTAAATAAATCTTCATTTACAGAAGCTGCAGAAGCCGAACTTGACTCTCTTAATGAATGCTTCCCAGCAGCTCAGGAAAAACAGTAAGCTTCTGATATACTGATCGATAAAAGTAGACTTGCTAAGTAGTTCTTTAATGTTTTTTTCTGTAGTAAACTTTGAAAACGTAGCACTTAGTCATTTGAGAAACAAATAAGCCATATCATTAAAATTAAGATATTAATCCATCCTAAACCTTTGTCCCTGGTCAAGTCTGTCCTCCATCCTGCCCATCCCTTAGCTGTCTCCTTTTCCAGACATTCCCAGATGATTCCTCTCCTGTGCATTAGTCTGGAAACATGCTAATTGCACTTAATATAAATAACTCCTTTTGTTCACATGCATTTTTCCTTTTCTTGTGCTTTAAGTTGATGGTGATGGTTCGAAAATTGAAAGTCCTAAGTCACCAAAGAAAACCCCCAAAGAAAGAGCCTCATCAGGTGTAAATCTGAGCAGAGGAGGAGACAGAGAATCGCTGAATCAAGATGTCTCGGATACAAGCAACCTGGAGGAAGAAGAATTGGAGGAGGAGGAGGAAGAAGAAGAGGAGGAGGAAGAGGAAGAAGGTGATGAAAATGACAGTGGAGATGATGAGGATTATGAGGAGGAAGAGGAAGAAGAGGAGGAGGATGAAGAACTTTCTCAAGATGAAAAGGAGGAGGATGATCTGGAAGAAACTCAGTCTGATGACATACTGGAGAAAGAGCAAGGGGAGAAAACAGAGCCTAAAGAGGAAATTAATCAGAAATTGGAGTATTCGAGTAGTGCAAAGTATGAAGGAGAAGCTTGGTGTGGAACTGGAGATGTCTGTGATGTGAAAGTAAGTGAAAAACTTGATGAAAAGGTGGAGGAATCTGTTGATACTCCTGTGTCTTTTATAGCTGGGTGTTATGAAGGGTTGCAAGAAGATATAACTCCTGTGTCAACTGCTGTGTCTCCAAAGATAATGAATAATGAAGTATCTTGCAAGTCAGTACCAAAACAAGCTGTCTTTCCAAATCTAAATAATTTGCAAGATAAACAAGAAAGCTGGAACCGGAAAAGCGTGATTCAGGAGGATTTTCACAGAAACGCCGAGTTCTGTTTTGCAGAGTCTGAAATGACAGACTGGAAAAAAGAGATACCTCCATCTCTCACAGATAATTGTGATCGTAACGAGAGAAAGTCAAGTTTCAGTAATGGCTCTGAAAGTGATACTAGTTCTTGGTCAGCAGCAAAAAGCCCAATGCTTGAAAGTCAGAGACCGAACTCTGTTGTTCTTGAACGTGTAAACAATGAAGATACTGAAGAAGATGAAAAAGTAGATGATAAAGTCTGTGAAACACTGACGCATGAAAGTGAAAACTTGCCCTTAAATGGGTACAAAGAAAGATTAAGAGCAGCATTTCACTCAAGCACCAAAGTAAGTATATAGGGATGATTCAATCACAAGGGTATTTTCCAAGGATAATATAGGCAATAAAAAATGGTAAACTGAATTTCTGTCAATACTTATTCTTCACATACACACATCTTTGATTATCCTTTTTTTATATTAATAAATGTTGTACTCCTAGCCAAAGCATTTTCTTAGGTATAAGAATAGTATCAGGCAGTATTTACCGTATTTTTTTCTATTAGTTACTGTGGTTTTGCAGGAAAAATAATAGGCAGTAGAATTTTTCTGGTGTCAGCTAAATTTTTCTCAGTTGTATTTACAGTTTTTATCTGTGAAGGTGTACTGCCATTTAGTAAAGTTCATGATATGTTGGCTGAAAATTTGAATGAAAGCAGGAAGCTAGTGGTTTTTCTTGGAGCAAACCAGGGGAAAAGAAGGAATGTGTTCCAGAAAGATGTAACTTAAATGAAGCTGGAGTTAGAATGACATGAGGAAGTCCTTGTCAGGGGCTTTGCAGGAGCAGGGGTGAGATTTAGGACATTAGGCTTTTATTTCTACTCATATAGATTTCAGTGGAAAAATAGAAGGCCTGGTAAAACAATGCCCAACAGAGTTTGCCTTTTGTCTTACACAAGAGAAGTATTGTTTGGGTTGTTAATGGATGGCAAACAACATGCTCTTTCCTGCTTCTTCCAGCTGTTTTTGTTTATCTCTTTTAGGAAGAATCACCTGACCAGGAAGAAAAGGAGGAGGAGCAGGAAAGTGAAGACAGTGGTGAAGAGCTACAAATTGCAGTTGTTGAGGGTGTAAAACATTCTGGTTTTAATGACAGCCGTCAAGTCCACACTGCTTCAAAAGACAACACTGGTGAGAGAAATTAGTTAGTAAATACTGACCTGTATTCTTCCTCTGCAAATATTAATGCACAGTAAATGAACTGAAATGCTGACTGACTTCTGAGGTAGTAAATTTTTCCCTCACCTGTGAATCCTAGTGGACACTGGCAAAGTGGGAAAGCAGCTTTTGTTCCTTTTAGTTCATTCCTTAAGAACTGAAATTGTGTTGTTGGATTCCAAATGAAGCAAGTGCCATTCTTGGTTTTGTTGCTGTGTTCCCCCTGAAGTGATCTGAACAAAACGTGCTGATGAAAAACAGGAGGACTAGAATGTCTTGGGTGTGAAGGTAGTATTCCCCTTTCTGGCCTGTACTGTTGGATTGAAAAACTGTGATTGCTCTTGGCTAAAGCCTGGGCAAGATTAGAGTCAAGCTGATTGCAGGCTGTTCTGTTCCCGTGCCTCACCTTGTCTGGTTTTAAAATGTAGGAGGTCTCTCCAGTGCCACTCTTCTGTGTCAGAGTTCAGCACTTTTGGTACTCAGCTCAGGTCTCAGAGCAGAAGGAGGAGGCACTCTTTCTTTAGAATGAGGAGGCACTCTTTCCATTGTCTGTCTCCAAAGAGTAGTCTGGTGTGGTTGTACCAGAGCATGTGTAGCTGCTGATTAGATGCTACACAGGGACCTTGGCAGAACCTGCTGTATTCAAGTGTTGTGCCTATACATCCTTTCCTGCCTGTGTGTTTTTCACTGTACATATGCATTTGGCACAGGGTAAGTAGTGAGAGCCCAGGCTGAAACCGGCAGTTGCCCTCTTCTGGGATGGGTGCCCTTGCTGCTCTCCAGCTCCTTCCCCCTTCTTTGAGCTCACGTCTCCACACGAGTGAATCCTCAACCAGTTTTACCTAATGGACTAGCTTAAAATGGAGAAATGAAGATAGTCTAATATGGCCTGGAACCCCCTGAGACTGAGCCTTATGTTGGTCTGCCAGAGAAGAGATTTACATGTTAGTCCCCTGAAACAGAAAGGGGTTTTTTATGTTTGGGGTGAGTGTTTTGAGCTGTGAGCCTCTACGTATTTTTAAATGGCAGTGCTTAGGTCTAGCTTCTGGAAAGGTGCAGTGTAACACCTCACTGTCAAGGAAGATCTTTCCCAGTTGCATTATAAAAGGAACATTGTTTCTTGGTGATTTTAGTGATGTTAGTGTGAGGAAGTTTTGGGTGTGTTTCTATGGTACCTCCTGTACAGTGGAAAGTGACAGTAAATGCCAAATTCTGGAACTGTAGGCTGGTAAGCAGGTGACCTAAACTCTATATACCACAGGACTGCAGCTTCCTGAATGTTACCCAAATGTATTGGGTGTTGTGCATAGCCATCTGCTGGACAGGAGGCAAGAGGGGAGGTAGCAATGTAAGGGAAATACTATGGTGTGGCTGGGTGTGAAGAAACCCTTGAATAACACACACTTCTTAGTTTGTCCTTCAGCAGTAGAACAACTCCGTATCTTTGGGATGCAGGGTTTGACTGATGGGGACTAGAAGAGTGAAATACAAACTTTCAGTTCCCACTTGTTACCCCATTTGTAGGTGCCCTACCAGAAGTGGGAGCAGAGGAAGAGGAAGATTCTGATTCTCCTTGGGATTCTGAGGTACTTTCTGTGAAGGACACTGAGGTTACCACCAATGGGAGAGGGCAGGAGTAAGATCCAGAAGCACTTGAGGGCTTACATTTGACTAGGGTGCTACTGTTGATGGGCTTACTTCTTCATTTCCTGCTTCTGCCATATGTTTGTAACTGGGACTCTTTGAAATTCTCCTGCCCCTTGGCCAGCTGTTCAGTTAAGACTGGAGTGAAGTTAGGTCAGGCTAATGACTTGGGTCTCATAGCAACTGGCCTTTGAGTTTGGTTTCTAGTATAGTGTTAAAGCAGTAAAGTTTATTGTTGTTTTTTCACCGTACAGCTCTGTTCTGCTGACTTAATCAGTGGTTGCCCTTAAGGTCTACAGCCTAGGTGGGTAGCTGCTTCTGAATAGGTCCTCTCTACCTTTTGTAGGTTTACTTAGGTCCTTTTTGAAAGTCATGTTCAACAGGGACACCACACATGCTGGCTGTGTTTGCCCTTTTAGTTCTTTAAGGCTGTGGTAACAGGCTAGAAAAAAATGAGCAGGATCTGTAGGTAACACACTCTGGCTTTTCTTGTGAAGAAAGCTGAATTCTTCCCCAGCCCCTTCATAAAAATACAAGGCTAAAATATTTTATGTATATATATTAGGTACCTTTAGTTTTTGTAAGCTTTGCCTTGCTCATCTTGGTTCAAGGCAAATTGTCCTTGTGCTTGGGAGTAGCAAGGAGTTCATTCACCACTGCAGGATACATGCCTCAGGAACATGAGCACAAACCTGAATGTCAGGAACAAGTTCAGTACAAAAGTTGGATCATCACAGGCCTGCAGTTATTGGTTCACAACCCACATCTTGAGTTATCATGTTAATTCTCTTTTATGGCTGGCTGGTTGGTCGAGGTTTATTACCATGACAGAATAGAATCATAGAGTGGTTTGGATTGGAAGGAACCTGTAAGACCATCTACTCCCAACCCCTCCTGCCATAGGCAGGGATGCCTCTCACTAGACTGTGTTGTTCAAAGCCTCATCCAACCTGGCCTTGACCACTTCCATGGAAGGGGTATCCACAGCTTCACTGGGCAACCTGGGCCAGTGTCTCAGCACCCTCACAATAGTTTAGATGGTTGTGAGGATTTTGCCTAAGATCTGAAAACACACTCAGCTGTTGTGATTTTCCAATATACTCAGTCCTGATGTGTCCCTTCCAGGGCTCGTATCCAAGGTTTTTGTATCTCTAATACACTTGATAACCATGCTACGCAAGTTGGTTTAGCAGGAGCTTTTTGCATAGAATTGAGTTGAAAATGCATTTGTACCCATTCTCATGCATGTGTTCTAGATTATTCAAACGGATTCTGAAAGTCTGAGAAAAGTATCATCCAGTGTGCTGCTCCCAGCTGCAGACCAACATGGAGCATGCTCACAGATTGGTTCAGGGGAACGCAACAATGGTAACACCCTGGTGGATTAAATGTTTGTCTGTTGTGAGCATTTATAGGCTAAAGTGAACAGTGTTTTGGAATTCTGTTACAACGTGGGTGTGCGCTATACAAATGCAGTGCTTAGTATTTTTTTATTTAACACCAGTTATCACAGCTGACCACCATGTGAAGGAAGTTGTCTTGTTCATGTTGTGTGTGTTCTTTGAACGTGCTCGTGGTCTTTTTGGGTTCAGGTACTTCTTGCATAGTGACAAAAGTATATGTGGTTTAGGACTGAACTGTCGGAACATTTAAATGTTCTTAGATGACAATGCAGCAGAAGAAAGATGTGATCTGGCAAAGCGTTTTGTTGTGGCTTTTTTCCTAGCTTAATATTTGATAGCTTTCTGTTGTGCTTTTCCTAAAAGCTAAAATGTGACCAAAAATTCAGGTTTTGTTGCTAAGGATTTCTGCCTGTATTTTGTGACACTCATCTCCTGAGCATCTGGAGCATAGGAAGTTTTGGTAGGGAAGTTTTGCTATAGGGGTAGAACTCTTTTCTGAAGGATTTCTCCCTTAACAAGTGGTTTGTTAGTCCCGCTTGTAGTATAAGTACAATGGAATAGCTGAAGAAACTAATCCAGTTTTGGTTTAGTCAGCTGGAAGCAGAACTTTACAAGCTCCTAGGAGCTTGTAAATGTATGTGTTGAGAGGCTGTTCTAGGACTCTTCTATGAATGATGCTACTATGATAAGTTTAAAACCAGCATGAAAATGGGGTAAAAGGTGACTATGGTAATCTTTCAAAGGTATTTCCATACTGCTAGACCACCAGGATTACTGCAGTAAGATCCTGGAACTTCTAATGGTTTGGTTTGGTTTTTTAAAATATAAATTATTTGCTGTGGAGCCATTCTGAGTGACATTTCATATACTTCCTTCATGAGAGGACTTAAACTGTAAGATAGCTGAAACAGAGGATTTGAGAAATATAGGTGGGCCAGAGATTGTGAGAGTTTAAAAATAAATTCTATGTTGGACACATTGTTTTTAATAAATAAATAAAATAAAATTGGAACTATGTTATAAATGCAGATTACAACCAAGCAAAATTTGTTTCTTTTGCTTCCTTGCAAGCTAAACCAGACCAATCTGATGAGAGCTAGCTTGATTTTTGCCTCATTGAACAGCATGTGTATGAGGTGTCAGTGTCTGCAGCCATGCTTTCTCTGTCTCATCAACAAAGGAAAATACTTCTCAATATTGAACTCCTACAGGTTAATCACAGTCATAGTGCTGTGGGACAATTTTATATTCATTTATTACAGCAGACAAGCTTTGGCTTTTGAAAGAATCCTTAGAAAGGATTCAGCTCCTCAAAAGAACTAAGTATTTTGATCTTGTTCTGCTAACAATACCGACCTTAATGCTTCACATGGATCGCACTCGATTTGTGACTGTTATTTTTTAAATCCCAGGTGCACGATGGGAAGCATGCATTGTCCATTTCTTGGATACCAATACAAGTGCTGTATGATGAGGCAATTAAATGTTAGGTATTGTACTCTTGATGCAATAATGCTTGCAACTAGTACTTGTAAACACTGCTGCGGCTGAATAGAGTAAAATATACCTTAAATTAAGTAAAATAACACTTTCCAAAACATTTTTCACCTCCAGGCTTTTCAGAGTCACTCAACAATTCACAGGTGAGTATTTATTTATGTTAGACTGAATATACTTGTTCTGCTCATTAAATCAAATGTAGTTTGAATTTAATTTTTTGTCATTGTATTGTGTCTTTCATAGCTGAAGACTCCTGAATCTGTTTTGGAAATGAATGAAACCTCTCCTAAAAAAGCACAACAGAAATCAGGTAATGTTTACTTCTTGTGATACTGGATTTAGTGTCATAGTCTTTCTGGAAAATAATATTTAATAAAGCATTTGATGTATTTGTTTTGCAGATCTATTGGAGGAATTTGGTTTAGGAGATGCAGAGGATATTGAAGGTATTCAAGACAGTCTCCTTTCATTGGTCTTTTATGGACCAACGCATTGTACTTGCAAACTTTTTCCTAAACTTAATGGCTCTAGCAAGGTGTTCTGGGAGCAGGTGTACTGAAATATGCCTGTATGCATCTGTCTGTTCCCTCCTCTAATCTGCCATTGAACACTGTAAATATCCTTTGTGATGTAGGCTTCCTCCACCACACATGCTGTCATCTTCTCTTTTCAGGCAGTCCTTAAGTTTGCTTTCCTTCAGTTTCTCAAAAACACACTTCCTGATATTCCTGGTTCTCTGCTGTGACCAATTCCAGGCGAGGGTTCTGCTAGGGTTGCCATCTGTCTGACCACCCCTGCTCTTGGAGGAGGGAGTCTTCTACGAGTAGTAGAAACTCCAAGCACACTGGTTTACCTAGACTTCTCTCATTCTAGGAGACATTGTAACCACCTAAGAGGTTTATGTGCAGATTACCAACCCACTGGGTGCCTGTCTATGCCTAATTCTGGCCTCTGGAGTTATTTTCCTTTTGTTTTCTGAAAGGGTTTTGCAAATGAGTGTGACATCTTGTGCAGATGCTTTTCTTGAGCTGCACTGGGCTCCAGTGCTTCTGGCCACCTCTTCTAGGTGGCACTCCCAGAACTGTATGCTCAGTGAGGGAGGGACTTGGTGGTTCAAGTCCAGCCACATTGCAGTTTTAGTAGGAAGGACATGGACCCTTCTACAAAAGCTGTGCATAACTGTTGAACGAAAGGAAGATGCTCATCTCCAAATTATGGAGGTTATTTATAAGTGTTTACTTATTCTAAGCATCTTGGTAGTGATAATTTATGACACTCTGTAGAGTTCCTTCTGTGATATCATCTACAAATATTCCTTGACCACCAGCACATTTGTCCTCTCCACCAGCAAACAGCTTGGTAGTGGAATATCAACAGGCATCAGTAGGGGCTAAATCCGCTCTATAAGCTTGAAAAACAAGAAAAAGGGGAAAATGCCTGTTTTCCTTGTAGAACGTTATTGTTAGATAATTATTAATTATTGTTATTATTATCTTTAATGCTGGTCAGACTCTGAAATGCATCACAGTCATCAACACATGATCATAACACCCCTGTGAAATAAGTGCTGCCAAATCACTAATAACTGATGTGGGAAATACCCCCAAAAAAATTTACAGAAAATACAGGAAATTGCAGCCACCAGTGATTGAGTTAGGAGAAAACTGCTATTCCACACTTGTGTAACTTGAGATTAGAATCGACCTCTGGAGACCTGTATGACTGACTGAGGAGCTTAGGTTCCCAATTCAGACATGTGGGTTGTAACTCTAAGCTTGTATCTAATCTTATCCCCTTGGAGAAAATAAAGCTTGCAAAAGGAGTCACCTAAAGCAGAAAATGCCAGAAGAGAGGTTAGCCCTGTGATTCAATAATACCAGATCCTTTTTTATCTTTATGATGAGACCTATTTTCTCCCTTCTTGTTCACTTTTCTTGTAGAATACCTTGTCCTCCTTAGCAATGAAGCATTGTGTATAGAAAAGCTATTGCATATACACCATAGAATTATGGAGCAGGAAAGGAGGTGCAGAGTGGTTGAGATAAAGAGCCTCCATCTTTGTTTTTACATGCCACACTTGAGCTGGTGGGGCTTAAGTTTCTTTCTGAATACTTGTTATTTGAAAGTGTTCAGTATGCTTTCCACACAAACAGTGACAATTGCTGCTTCTAACCTGTATCTAGGACAGTCTGGAGTCCAGTCCTCAGGTGTAACAGAGATTCAAAGTAGGCACCCACTAATGGAGGGTCTAGACTGAATGACTGTTTCTGAGGAGTTTGTGACCTGTCCAATATTACTTTGAAATTCTGAGAGAGGAAAGGAGGAAATCCAGTTTTCAGCAGTACAAGTGAAACATCTGGATTATGGGTTGTTTCTCAACCTTTCACAAGCCTGTCTTTCATTCAGCCTGCTATCCATGTCTTCGTCAACAGATGAGGCAACAGTTTGGCTGAAATGCTCAGTCCAGGTTTGTGTCTAAAGGCAGAGTTGTTTCATGCATAGAGTAAACCTGCAACCTTACATATTCAATATTTCATTTTGTTTGTAATCTTCTGTGCACAACACATAAAGAAATTAAAATTGCTGGAAGTATGTAGCTAGCTACTACATGGCACACAGTGTCTCAGAGGGGGAGAGAAATCATGCACCTTGAAGAAGCAGGAGTGGTTTATTTGTGACCATTTATATTGATATTCATAAAATTTCCCTTTTACATTAGAAAGTAAAATGCCATGGATGAAAGGAATTCATACAGATGCATATTAAATCTGTATGGTGATGATTTTCTCCTTAGCAGCTCAGAAATTTGAGAGGATGTTGTATTTTGTGTTAAGATTTTTCTCACAAATATTCAAGATGCACTCTAGGTCTAAATAAGTAGCATTAAGCCATGCTGGTTATAAAAATGTGTGATTTTCACTGTAGGTGAGTACTCAGGATCTGCCTTTCATATGTCATCATCAGCTGAAAATGAAGATGTCAAGGATGCCTTTGAAAACTATGGGGTACAGGTATGTAAAACCCAATATTTTTAATTAGAGTCTGAATTGGTAAATTGTGTTATACCTGAAGGTAAAGAAAAGTAGCCAGTAAGTCAGTAATGCTGAAGGGAGAGTCCTATAGATGAAGGTTGTGTTACTCTGAAATAAAGTTGGATACAATCTTCTTATGATGGGGTAAAATTCATGTAATTCTGTTGGATACTTGCTGTTATATTGCTTTGTTTCCGGCTGGATTGTGTAATTTCTGACCTGTGTTCTCCATGTTGTGCTGCATGGAGAAACAATGAAGTCAAAAGCATTTTTTTCACTATGCAAAATGCACATTCAAGTAACGTGGGAGTTTAGTTGCTAACATGCTGATCTGTTTGATTAAGCATGCCTGGTCTTCTTTTTAAGATAAAGTTCACACAAGAAAAATTGAATTTTCTTTATTTTTCTGATGCTATTCCTGCCTCTTCAAAATATGCATTTGTTTGGCCATGATAAAAGTGTTTGAAAAGGGTTTTTTCAGAGGGTTTTCTACAGAGGAATAGGACAGTTAATCTGTGTGGAGCATACAGGACAGGGCTGGATAGGATAGATGGGTCCATAGTCTTCTGTAACACCTCAAGTGATATTGGAGCAAAATATTTCCACCTCAGAACCAGGCACCATGAAGGAGGGATGTGCTTAATTTTAACAGGCAGAGCCCAGAACTGAAGCCTGTTGGAAGGTAGTAGTAGTTGGGTGATGAACTTGGTACTGAAGAGGCCAAGAGAGATGGTGGCTGGCTGAGGTGCTCCTTCTCTATCCTGAAAAGAGGAATTTTTGCAGAGAGAAGAAGGCCTGGCTAACGAGAAAAGAGTGAGGAGTTGGATGGGATTAGTCCACCAAGGCTGAAAGCCCTATTTAGAAGGCAGTATGAGCTAAGGATGTGGGGAGGGGGCGTGCCAAGAGAACTGTGACCTGTGAGGGAAGCAGTTGGAACTGCTGAGCAAGAGAGCATGGGGTCAGAGATGTGAGACTGGGTGGGGTTGAGGAATGTTGCCCTTTTCGTACAAGCTGGAGTTACTGATTTTTACAAATGAAGGAAGGGAAGGAATGGACAGGTTACCCTAACAAATGGGGGTTTTGGGAGCTTGGAATGGAATTTAGTATTTCTGAATCTTGGATGAATAAATAAGCATAACTTAGCCAATTGTCCATGTGGTGGACAGTAAAAAGCTTGTCATGTTCATTCACATTGTATTAGCTTAACTGGCAGGAGACTGTAAAATGCCAGACAGTAGAGAATGATGGAGGAAGAAGAGTGAGATAATGTAGGCAGTTATAATTAAAAATGGCATTTAAGCAGTAAACAGAGAAACAATAAATTGCTTAATGACAAATGCCACCAGTTACAGAAGGCAGGCAGCTTAAAAGGTAAATGCAAACCTATTGTTCAGACAAATGTAATCCAAGAAAAACAGTTGTCTCTAAAGTAAGTCCTTCTATGTTGAAGAAAATTATTATTTAGTGAACTTTTAGTATTCCTTGGTTTTTTTAATTATAAATATTGCTTCCAGAATGTCCTGTTTGTAGTATTTCTGTTACATGGATGCAACAGAACTTGCCTAAATTAACTGTAACTTCCTTTTTCTTGGTAATCTTTCTGTCTGTACTTGTTTACTTAAGGATAAATATATTTTAGAAACTACCAACTTGATAGAAAAAACAACACAAGAAAATCAGACTGACAAAGCAGAAATTTCACATCAGGACGTCCGAGCAGAAAATGAGGAATCACACAGTGCTGACAAGCCTTTTAGTCCAAAACCTTGGGAAGAAAGATATGAAAGAATGTGGGTTGAAAATGAGAAAAGGGAATTGAAAACAAATTTTAAAAACATTACAGCAGAGCTGAAGCTGCTGTTTGGTGAAATAAAGGAAACTGGGAAAACTGCTTCTCTTATGGATGGAATGTCTAAAGATGGCTTCGGTGAAGAATGGAAGTGTTCTCGTGTTGTTTCCTCTCATGCGACAGAGTCAAGTAATAAGTTAGAAAGTAAAGGTCAATTTGGAGGTGCTAAACTTATGCTAGGTGGAAAAATACCCAAAATGGAAATTGTACTTCCGAATCTTGGTGTCCTTCCTGATCAAAATAACTTAAATGCAAACGTGGAAGATAGCTGGAGTACAGATGGAGAAGATGGCACAAATGATGCAGATGACACAAAGGTTCTTCCAGTAGAGGGAGAGGAAAAGAAAATGCCTGCTATGGAAATAGAAGAGAATGAAAATGAAAGTAGTAGAAATGTAGAGGAAAGTCCTGAATACTTTTTGAAGCACAGCTTTAAAACAAGTATTTTGGATGACGTTTCTCATATTCTTCCTAAAATAAGACCTGTTTCTACAAGTGTTGAAAATACGCTTTTTGTAACAGAAAGGAAACTTGGAAAAGACTCTGGATTTAACAATGATGTTTCCAGGGACTCCCTTGTTGACAATAGTAAGATAGGAAAAACAGAATCTGAAAGTCTTTTTGCAAATACTCAGCAATCGTGTAGCATGCTGAAAAGGAATCTTGATGAAGAACTAAAACAAGATATGGAAAGATTTAAAAGTAAGGTAGGAATGCTGCAAATGGTATTCCTGGCTTTGGCGAAGGAGAAAGTACAGCTGCAAAAAGAGGTAGAAGTTCACGTGCTTCTCCCTATTCTTTAGTCCTTCTCCATATCAATGGTCCTGTTCACTTTCGCTATTCATCATTAAGGGAAGACACTGTGCATGTTGGTTTTCATTTTAATGGAAATAGATTACTTATGAATTAAGAGAGCAGTGGAGAGTTGTCCTTTTCCTCATTGTTGCAAAACACAATGCATTCTTCTTCCAGTTTAATGATAAGGTGGCACTCAGTTCTAGTGTAAGTAGTTACTGCTTTATTGCCATAAAAAGAAATGCACCCAGTGACATCAGGTCTGATTTTGAATCAAAGAATGAAAATAGCTTCTGAACAGGGTCTTGACTCATCTTTTCATTTGCTGTGATTTCTGCATGGTGTGTCTTCATTGCCTTTCTCTAAAATTCATGTTTGCTGTGAAACCCTTTCTGCTTGTGGTTTTGGGATCTTTTCATTTTACTTTTTTTTTTTTTTTTTTCCTCATTAAGGAATCAGTGACCCAGCCAACTTCTATTTGATTTGTAATGTGTTTTTACAACTAACATTGTGCAGCCCTGACTCTTTGTCCATTGGTAACACTTTCACTTTTCTGTTGTTCATGTTGTAAGGTACGCGAGTGATTTTCCTTCTAAGGGTTGTGTTTTTGTTGTATCTTTAATCATTAGTTAACTCAAAGTGCTTTTAATGATTCAATACACTTTTCTAATTTCATTTTGTGAAAATGGTTCTCTACATGAATTTTTAAAAATTCTCATGTTATTTCAGAGATAAACCCTGAATTACTCAGTCTTGTGATATTTCTGTCTTGTAGAAACACTGAGAAATACATGAGTACTTTCTTTTTGTAGGTTGAAAAGCAAAAAAACGAAGAAAAATGTTTCAAAATGCAGGCAGTGACAAAAGAAGATCTTGATAAACTGAATACACCATCAAGTAATGTTACTGATCAGCAAATTAAACAAAAACTGACTCTAAGAATGAATGACTCTTCGAAAATGGAAAATGAAATCACTCTAGAAGAAAAAGAGGAAACAAAATTATCATCTGAGGAGAGATCAAAATTGATTAAAATGCCAACAAAAGGGTAAACTAAGGAAATAATACTTATTTGTAGTAATACTTGGGTGTCTTTTAGGTCTCCTGATATTGTAGTAGTTGAAGTAGTTTCCTTGATGCTGAAAGAGATACTGAATAGTCCACTGCTTCTCAATCATTTAAGGAAAACCAAAATCTTTTAGAAAAAATTAAGGTCATAATGGAAGTTCAGATTTATTGCCTGTTTTTAAAAAAAAGTTAAAAAAGGAAAAAAAAAAAAATAAGCATAACCTAATTCCTTTGGATTTCTTGTAGGAAATGTCCATCCAGAAAAGTAAAGTAGAAACTTGCAGTTTACTTTGTTTTCTGCCTTTTCTAGTTGATTTAAGTGATCTTCATACAGCTGGTGTTTTCTTTTTCATTAAGTTCAGGGACTCTTTGTCAGGGAAAGGTAGAGAAGATGGTATTACCAAACCCATCTCAAAAGTCTGGAGAATGCACAGATATTTTCATGTAACCCTAAGCAGGAATTTTTTTTCCTGTCTGTCCTTCAAAGGGATCTCTCTGCTCTAGATACTTCCTCTGATGGGCATATTAGGTCTGTTCCAGCTTTACTTGAGTCAGCTCAGTTTCCACATTTCCCCTTCATTCCTAGGGGGAGATTTTTTGCATACCTGGGGATTTTCCACGATCTTTGATATCAAGTTTGTGTTTTATCATAGATATTTTTATCTTAGTTGTTTCTGGACTTCATCTTATAGAATTATCTAGGTTGGAAAAGACCTTGAAGATCATTGAGTCCAACCTTTCACCCCACTGTACTATGTTCACCTCTAAATCATATCCCCAAGCATTACATATATAAGACTTTTAAGCACATCCAGGGATGGTGACTCAACCACCTGTCTGGACAGCATATTCCAACGCCTGACAACCCATTCAGAGAAAAAAAATGTCCTAATGTCCAGCCTAAGCCTCCCCTGGTGTAGCTTTAGGCTATTCCTTCTTCTCTTACCACTATTTACTTGTGAGAAGAAACCAGCACCTAGCTCTCCAGAATGTCCTTTCAGGTAGTTGTACAGAGAGTTGTAGAGAGTATGTCTGTTTCACAGAGATATTTTCTGTGAAGGTACTCAATTGGTTATTTTTTTTCTTTCTGTTTAATGCAGTAAATTTTCCCTGAATGCCAAAGTTCCAAAGAAAAATAGAAGACAGACTTCAAAACAGAAGGCTAACCAGCAGATGAGCTCTTCCAGTGGGAATCATTTTCCAGTACTGGAAGATAGCACTTTCAGTGAAACATCTGAAGATGAAGGAAGGTACTGAATATAAAGAAAGTTGTAAATAAAACTTACCTAATTATAAAAATAGACCATAAACCTAAAGGTAAGTTTTCTAAACCTGACATGCACAGTAATTCCTGTTCTTTCATGTGACCATACTAGTTGATGTCCTTTGTGTTCAAAAATTTATTTTTTTTTTGCCTAGAGAGCTTTGAATGTAGTAGCTATCTGTCTTATCAACAGTGTTTTGGTCAGAAGCCTGACACACAGCACTGTGTGGGCTGCTATGAAGAAAATTAACTCCATCCCATCAAGTCCCAGTACACTAAAGAATCGAAAATTACAGTTCTTTGACCTGGAAGAGGCAGATTCTCAATATTGAAGAGAGCTAAACCTCTAGGATTAAACAGGGGACGCACAAAACTGTGTACCTGTTAATGTACATGTCTGTAGCTGTAAGATTCCTGTTGCTTTGAGCGAAGTGCAGAGAACAGTTATTTCAAGAATTTCCCTCATACTTTGTGATAAAAATAGCCTTCCAATAGACATAGTAGTTTTTTTCTCAGTCTTCAGCAACACCTAACAAAATTCTTACCTTACATTTTAGTGTAATTCACTTCTGAATGAAGTTTTGAGAGCGATGTTAGATATTGTTCATAATTCAATATAAGCATTCTAGTACTGAAATATCTTTGTTTTCCAGACCTGCAGCAAAAACAGGGACTGAAAAGAACAAGGTACTGTAAAATTAGCTTCTTAAAATAGCTTGTATCAGCTTTTAATCACTTAGATGGGAACAGTTTTTACATAGTGATCAACCAGATGCACAAATTGCTGCTAGTATGTAGCTTTATCATACTTGAGCCAGATCCAGGGTCTGTTAATGACAGAAAGAATAAGTCATACATTTGTGATGATCTGTATTTCTAAATATTTGTACACAGAAAATACTGTATTATTTGTAGGTCAGCATGCAAATCGACGTAGGTGATGACGTGGATTTAACTCACTCATCTAACACAACTTCAGAGGATGCTGAATTATCACCTTCAACCTACCAAGAGGCTGTGTTCCTCTTGGACCAGCTTAATGTGGGTCATACTGGTATGTCTTCAAGTCACTTTGTCTCCAGCTGTTACAAGTTCCTTTTCTAAAACATTATTCCTTTGTATGCACTTCTAGGTATTTCAGTCTAATACTTCTTCATAATTAGAGATCCCTTTCAAGACCCATTAAATGATCTCACCAAAGCTTGGATGTCTGCCTGCATTGTCAGCAAACATGCCTTACTTTATTGTTGGTTCTCTGTCTAGTCAGTGCTGGAGAAGCAGGTTCTTGCAAAGTACAGTTCCTCTCCTTTTAATGCAGTCATCTAAAGAGCAAGATTAGCAAAACATTAAATAATTTATACTTCGGCAAGTATTTGTGCATATGTGCAACTTTGTGTCTTTTCTTTCTGAAAACAGGTTCTGATATTTTGTTGAAAATTCAAAGCATACTTCTTAAATATGAACAGACAATAGAACGTGAAAAGAATCGGTATGCAGCTGTCTGTAGAGAAGTAAAGAAACTGGAAAGCAGAAAGGAGGAGTCGCAATTAATGGCAGAAGAGACTCAAGATTTTAAATCCATATTGGCTCCCCAGGCAGTGGAATGGAAAAGTGATATTGAAAACCTTAAGTATGAAACCTTGCATTCTGATGCTATGTTAGTTTGTCAGTTTTCATGTTCCAGAAGATGCTGATGGTACAGGTGATAGGATGAGAAGTTTCTAGTATTTTGGGTTTGGATTTTAATCCTTGGGCAGGTTATACTATAAAGAACATAATGTCGGGTGGCAGGGGGGTAGGAATGCCTGGATATTAGCTCCATGTAGAATCTTCTGGATGTTTTTTTAAAGGGTGTTTTTAGTAGCAAGAGAGGAGAACAAGAGAGTTTGTATGGGAAAGTGAGCTTTATAAGAGATTTATATGAGATATTTTTTATATTTTTGTCTTTGTAGCTTCTCTTGGTGTATGATATTAGGAATTCTGGTAACTCCAGAGACTGCAACTCAGAAGAGAGCTTAGAACATTGTTTAATTTTAAAGGTCAAATTTGGGATTGTCCCTCTCCCCATATTCTCCTCACACCTAGGCGGTGTTAAATCACTGTTCACATCAGACAAGAGTGGCCAGCAAGAAGATATGCAAAGCCCTGCATTTGGGAGGGAAGATGCTCTTGAGCTCATGTACTGTGGGGTGGCCTGGCTTGCTGAGAAGGCCCTGACGGTCTTGGATGAGAGCAAGCCCAACGTGAGCCAGTATGAGCTGGCAGCTGTGAAGGCCAACAGCATTCTAACCTGTGTTAAGAGCAACAGAGCCAGGAGATTAAGGGGAGTGATTATCCACCCCTGTGTCTAGAGCACAGGGTCCAATTTTTGGCCTCCCAGTGTAAGAGACATGTTAGTATGTGTGAGTTCAGTAGACAGCTACCAAGCAGGTCAGGGAACAGCAGCACCAGCCCTGCAAGGTGAGGCTGAGGCAACTAAGCTTGGAGGAGTTGTGCTTCCCAATATGTGGAAGAGGATTAGGAGAAAAACAAAGTCAGTCCCAACTTAGCCTGGTTTTGGACTTCAGTTGTCTTTCAAAATTTGTCGATTATGAAGAATTAATATTTTTGCTTTACGTAAATTCTCAAAGCAATGTTAACTTTAAGCTTATAAAAACTATACTTTTTGTGAAATTACACTAAAAATTTTGTGTAAAGCTTCTTCTGTGCAATATAAACCATTCAAATACAAATGTTACATTTCAGTCTTCCAAATAATTTATTAATGGTTAGTGTTACTTGTTTTACAGAACTTATACAGCAGATTCTCAATTGGCAACTCGTTGGTCATGTTAATACTTGTTTATTTTGTTGTTGTTGTTGTTGACCATTGCAAATATATTTTCAAAAATTCAAAATAAGTACCAAACTCATAACTGCTTTCTTGTTTGGGCACTGTGGGCGCACCATGGACCATTCTTACCATGCTGGTGCTTACTGCTGCTTTTTTCAGTTAATAAAGAAGTTGACATTCCCTAAGGGTCTCATTATAAATTAGCTTCAAAATTAAATTGCTGTGGTCTCTCCCAGATTTAGCTCCATTGAAGTTTATTACTATTTTAGTCATATTAAACTTCAGCCCTTTGCATTTCTTACTCTCTTTTTGAACACTGCCCTCATTCTTGAGTAAATAGAAACTGCTTGGTCTTCCTTCCTATTTTGTTTAAACTTAGAGAAGACTTCCTAAAAAAATGTTTGGGTCCATCATAGGTCAGTGGTGTGCTGCTTCATCGGTAGTACTTGCAATCACTGAATCTGTAATGTGTAGGCAGTGCTCTGCATATTTAGTAAACGTCTGTTAATCACAGTGTAAGTTTATGATGCTCTGATAAGACAACCAATTCCTTTTGGATCAATGTCTGTAGTATGAAGGTGACTTCTAAAAAACTTTTAGAAATGTGCATAGTACTGTATATTTACCTATGTCAGCTTACTTAAAAATAGGGATTATTTGTGTATCTGTACACCTGCTACCATGGATAAAGGAATGAAGCTAGAATTCTTAAATAAGTTAAAATTTACAGTAAAAATATTAAATTGGAAAAGATTTAACATTTTTATAGTGTGAGTTGTCTCTGCAAATTCATAATATGGAATATCTACCTTTGACGTCAGGTCTTTAGTTTCTCAAATATTCCTTAAATCCCAGGTCTACTTTGAAACAAGAAGAGGAGAAGAGGCTCAGAGTAGAATCACTATATGAGAAAACAAGAGAAAAACTCATAAGGAAAGAAAATGAATATAGTAAAGAGATGGAGGAGAAACGGCAGCTTGTGTTACAGTCAGGGAATTTAGAAAAGGAATTAATGGCACTGAAGAAGTTCTTGAAACAGGTACAAGCTAAACATCTGTCTTCTTGCTTTTATGATTGCTTTATAATTGGCACTATATTTCATTATGCCTAAAAGAGGTATTTTGTTCATGGAACAGGCATTGGATAACTTGCCAAATTTTGAGGATGGTTGATAACAGTTACTTCTTTGCAAGTTCATGATTCCTTTTCTCATTATCAAAAATTAAGGTTTCATTTACGTTTCCGACAAAGCCTGACTTTGAGTTATTTTTCTATTTACTACAAAATGTTCTGTATTCTTTATTTTTCCAAAGGAAATTACAATGTCTTATTTATAGATTCATATGATAACTGTGGGGAAGCAAAAATATCTACAAGAGCACAAAGGAGGACGGGAAGATAGTGCTAGCTCTGATTTTTCTCAAGGTCCAAGTAGTTTAATTGTATTCATGCAGGTTGAAGAGGAACGTGATGAAACACAGAGACAGCTCTCTCGGGAAAAGAATGCCAGAGCCTTGCAAGAAGGAATCTTGAACCACCACCTTCAAAGACAAAAGGAACTAGAAGAAGAGACAAGAAGGACTGTAGTAAAAAACTCAGTGGTAAGCAGGTTGTTTTCTACTGGATGAATTTCATCATGATGGTTCTAAAGCCATAATAAATCTTACAGAATTGTTTTTCTGCTTGATGGATTTTTTACAGTTTACCAGTGTTAACTTCACTGTGGAAATGCCTTTACTGTTTCCCCTTATATTCTTGAAAGCAGCATCAGTCCTGCATGTACCTGAACTGCATGTGCAAGCAGGAAACTAATAGAAGACAATATTTACACAATTTCTTATGCTGTTATTTTTCATTTCATAGACACCTTGTCATCACTTTTTAAGGTTTCCAGCAGGGAAACACCAGACTACCTATGCTCAGGTTGAAACTTGTTTGACACTCACTCTTTGTGTTCCTGTTACTTGTTGTTTTAGTTAGTTACTCCATTCTTAAACTCACTTGTTTCAAGTATGCTTTTCTTTTCCACATCCTAACATCTTATGAAGGAATATCGGCAATGAATGAAAATCTCTGGAGGAGTTAGAATTGTTGGAGGACAGAAAGCAATCATAAACAAATACTGTATATTAAAAAAAAAAAACTTGAAAAGAGTTTACTGAATTTGCAAAGAGTGTGCAGTGCTGGGAAAAATTATTTTCCTTGGCTGTGCTGCCCAATAAATGTGGGATGATGTGTATTTCATATTTATTATATGAACAAGACTGTTGCATTTCAGGGATGATTGAGTTGTATAGCTAACCATCAATAGTACAAAAGGATGTGTTTTAAAGACATTTAAGAAGGAAAATATGCTTTTCAGCCTTGTTTTTACCAGATTTGTAACACAACTAAATTAACTTTAAAGGGGGAATATTTTAAAGGTGTGCATGTAGAAGTAAGCAATGTCATTTTAAAAGCTTTCTACTTCAGATATTTTAAATAATGTCATTATTTGGTTATTTGGTTGCTGATTTAAGGAGGGGGAAGAAAGGTCTTGTCAATTTGTGATGTTTATTTAGGTTTTAAGGGTATATTACACTTCCATTGTGTGCACACATTATACAAGTACATGGGTTCATAGAGTAACTTATGGTTACCCCAAATTTCACTCTCATCTTTGAAGTGATGCTGCAGTATTAGAAATGTTGAAACACAGTTTTGACGCGGGAATGTTTGTGTAGATTCATTTCCCAACTGGCTATTTATTCATGTTCTCTGTCATTTAGGAATCTGACGTTGAGAGAGAAAAGGATTTGTTATACAAAAATCAGTTACTACAAGATGAGATTGCTATGCTAAGATTAGAACTTGATCAAGCAAGACTTAGGCACCAGGAGGAAGAAGAGAAATACTTAGAAGAAAATGAGACTTTGAAAGAAAAAAATGAAGATCTCAAAAAGGAACTTAAGCTGAATGAGGAAGCCTTAACACAAACAGCTTTTCAGTACAATGCACAGCTAAACTTACTGAAGACAGAATCTGTAGTGCTAACTTCCAAACTTGAGCAGACCAAAGAAACCAAAGACAGGTTGGAGACAGAAATTGAATCATTTCGTTCCCGCCTGAACACCGCTGTTCAAGAACTGGAACGTCATCAGTCCTCAAAAGGTGATGTTGAAAGAGCGTTTCAGAGAGAACGCGATGAATGGCTTCGCTTGCAAGACAAGCTCCATCATGACCTCTCTACTGTGCAAGAATCCACCAAGAGCTTGTCTCAGCAGCTAAGCACAGCTGAAAGCAAAGCTAACAGTCTAGAAAACGAGCTCCACCAGTTAAAACAAACACTAAGAGAAAAAACATTGCTTTTAGAAACAACACAAAAAGAGTTAAGTCAAGCCCAGTGTCAGGCAAAGGAATATGATCAAGCTCGACAACTTGAGAAGGATCAAGTAAGCAAATTGATGATAAAGCAGGAATCCATGCAGGAGCGACTGGCCCAGTTTCAGAGTGAAAATATTCTACTCCACCAGCAACTAGAAGATATGCAGAACAAGGGGATCATAAAAGAAAAAGTAGTGAATGATGTGCAGGACCGGTTTAATGAAATTTTCAACAAACTCAGAGCTGACACTGAAAAGCAAGTTCACTTAGTGGAAGAGAGAAACAAGGAATTAAGTGCCAGGTGTACGGATTTAAGAGAACAAATCTTTAAATATGAGTCTGACAAAGTAGAGAGAGAGGTAAAGTACATACTGTTAGCAGTGTATGAGCTATTAGCAGTGTATAAGACTATTAGCAGTGACCTGAGCTTTCTCTTCTGTATTTTATTATGTGCAGTAATATTAACTTTGTTCTTTGTGGCTCCATGAAAGACTTAATTAACTGGACAAGGCAGAAGGCTCATTAGAACAATCAGTTAAATTGTCTTGCTGCAAATTCACTCAGTACCCGGGTGTGAAACATACAGAGCACCAGTGTTAAGTTTCTGTGCCTCAAACATGATTGAGCCAAGTGTTGCTCCCATTTCTGCATGTAGGAGGTTTTTCTCAAGAAAAGAGGTGGGAGACAATGAAGATGAGGGTGGAGTGAGGAACAGGCAGACAATTGAAAAAGCGATAGGTAAGGATAGAGTGCATTGCTATATATGTTCCTTGGAGTAGGTGTGGTTTTCTCTGTTGAGAGAGTATTCTACTGGTCCGAAGTGGAGCAGTGATTTAAAACTTGCCTTCCCCATTTTCTTAATCTTCCTTTCCTTTCTGGACAATAGGAACTAGTCACACTGAGTGTTTCTTTAGACCCTCTGGTGTAAGGTTTGTCTCCCATAATTACTTGAATAATGCTTTAAAATTACATTTCATTCCTCATATCAGATCCAGAATCTTTGAGTGAGGTAACTATTTGCGTGTGTCAGATTCTTCATTTGTCCCTTTCTGTAAGGGGAGAGGAAGGGAGGAAAGCACTCCAGCAGTGCTATCACTTGTTTTAATCTGTGAATCGTTTTCAGATATTGGCATTAATGTAATTGTATTTGTATAATGGAGAAACAGAACCAAAAAGGATCTAATACAAAGTCCTGTTGTTAGTCATCAGAGTAGTATCTGCTGTCAAACTATGGCTCTTACATCACAACAGATTTCTTTGGATTTTGTTAGGGAAAAAAACACATTATTCCAGTGTATGTTTGTGTCTTGAGTCTGTTTTATGTATTAGGAAAGAAATCCCCATGAACAGTTGCTGCTAGTTTGGAGATGCTTAGCTGAGAAAGGTGAAGAGAGTTCATCACCTGTGCAGATGCCTGCTGATAGCAGGCAAATGTCATACCTGAGTTCAGGCCCAAGAAGTTAAAGTAAAGACGTGTTTCATGTTCTTATAACTTTCTTCATGTTCATGTAACTATTTCACTAGGGCATGGTCAGACAGCTGCAGCAGGAGCTTGCTGATGTGCTTAAAAAGCAATCCATGTCAGAAGCTTCGCTGGAAGTTTCTACGCGTTACCGCAGCGACCTGGAGGAAGAGAAGCTGCGCTTGCAAAAGGAATTAGAGAAGGTTAAAACCAAGGTATATCATGTTGCCCTAAAATCCTAGAAAAAACTTCAACACGATAGATTAGATGATGTGTGTGAATGAATGGCACTGTTTTATAAGCTTGGTGTCCATGTCTTTGGTATGAGGACACTATGTCCTTACTTGGTCAAGGGTTTCTGTCTACTAAGGTGCTCTGCAAACCTTTCTGAAAAACAGTAGAAATACTGGACTGATGTATTCGGCCTTCTTTAAGCTGGCTGTGCTTCCCCTCACACCTCCCCAGGTAACATGGAATCATAGAGGTGTTTGGGTTGGGAAAGTCCTTAAAGATCAAGTCTACCTGTTGACCTTGCACTGCCAAGTTCCCCACTAAATCCTGTCCCGAAGCACCACATCTGCACATCTTTTTATACCTCCATGGGTGGTGGCTCAACCCCTTCACTGGGCAGCTGGTTCCAGTGCCTGACAACCTTTTCAGTGACAACATTGTTCCTAAAATCCAAGCTCAACCTCCCCTGTCACAACTTGTGGCCATTTCCTCCTGTCTCTTCACTTGTCACCATTTAACTCAGGATTAGCATAGTAATACTGATAATAAAGCTCTCAATCCCCTCCCTCCTAACTTGGTGTCATCTGCAAACTTCCTGAGGATGCACTCAATCCCCTTGTCCAGATCATGGATGAAGATATTAAACAGAGCTGGCTGGCCCCTATACTGAGCCCTGGGAACACCACTTGCGACCAGCAGAAAAATGGATTTAACTTCATTAACCAGCATATTGCTAATTGTGAATGCTTTTGTGACTTATTCTGCATGCATATATATTTTTTTTTTCCCTTGTTTGGCCCTGCTGTAATTTCCAATCCTTAAGTGGCCTTCTTGCAAGTGAATTGTAAGCTACTTTCTGAGGTGGAGACCACTTCTTAAAAAAACTGCAGTATAGAGGCCTCAGAGTTCTGAAGTAGAATTCACTTTAATCTCCTTATGAGTGGGATGTGAAGTCACTTTAAGAGAAGGATAAACTTTTTAATGTATGTTTTCAATGGAGGAGCAAACAAGTGGATATAGAGTGTCATAAGTCACTAAAAGGGTAGGAGGGGTGTTGTCTTAGAACCGTGCTATAGGAAACCAGTGGAGTCATGGGAGAGGCCAGTCTGAAAGATGATGAAGTAACACAGGTTGTGATCATTTGCCAGTAAAAGTGAAAATTTGAATGTACATTAAATGGTTACGGTTCTTTGGGTAGGGGGTTTGTGCAGATATCTGTAGTACCTGAGTTCTTCAGCAGCAGTTGACTCCTCTATATAAAAGCTCCACTAGTTGCTTTGGGTTCTTACTGTGATTTTACAGTTGCAGGAGTTGGAAGAACAGCATCTTCAGTCTGAGCATTCTATTCATGACTTGAAGATTGCCTTGGATAATAAGGAAAGAGAACTAAGAGATTCTTCCCAAAAACTGCAAGACCTCCTTTTGACATCTTCTGGGACTAACACTACTATAAAACAACTGGAAGAACATGTGCAGCGGTGAGAGCATAATAATGCAGGTGTTTGTGGCTTTTTGGGATTGTGTGGAAAAAAAAATAACCTTGTTGCATTACAGCAAGTTAATACAGGATTTTGAAGGATGCTTTTGGTTTAGATGAGGGTATTTCACACTGTTCTTTGAGAACTGGTGCTCTGTTGAGTTTCAGTAATAAAACCTATATTTCTTCTTAAGCCTCGAAATTGAAAATGCAAGATTGGAAGCTACAGTCCAGCAACAAAGCAAAAGGATTGAAGCCCTTCAAAGAGACCTGCAAGCATCTGCCTCGGTAAGCTGGTCCTAAACTTCCCTTTTTGTGAGCTTCTGAGCCTAGTCACCTATTGCTGTGGGGAAATGTTAAGATGAGGTTTTCCTGGAGAGCCCAGGGCACTCAGTTCCTGTGTTCTGCTGAATACAGGCTGCTGGGAAAGCAGCTTGGCCCTTCCCCCATCTAAAAGAAGGTGCTTTCATCTGTGGCCTGTATGAAGCAAATTATTTTTTTATTGTAACCAGGAAGCTAGGGTTCTTGTTACAACTGTAGTTGTTACTTAGTGCTGAAGAGATTTTGAAAATAACTGCTTGTGAAAGCTGCACTTCAGTGTAGTGATACTGGTAAGAGAGGAGGGAAGAGCAGGTAGGATGCTGGTCCTTTCCCTTTGGTTAAGAGAGCATAATTTTCAAATGCACTGTGAATGAGAAAAGCTGCTCCTGTCAGCTTTCACTGGAGATCCTTTGTATCCTACATGGTGTTCTTGCTCCCTGGAGCAAACAGCAGAGGTTGATGATTGCAACCAGTTTTACAGTGACACCAGACAAGGCCCTTTTGGGTCATTGGTGCTGGGTGTAAATACTACAAGAGCAAAGAGGTGGAGAGGTGTATGTGATGTTTATTTTTGGTAAACTTCAGTCTGGGAAATCACAGTGTGTCTTCTTGCTTCTAATGCTTCTGTAGGTTCATAACCGCCTGGAAGACTTGATAACTAGTTTACGGACAACCCAGGCAGCTGCAGAGGACCAGCACCAGCAGCAGGTACATGACTGGCTTCTGTGAACGACAGGCTTAGCCTTTGAATTTTTTGTGTGCAGGAAATTGATGAAAAGATGAGGTGGGCTGTGCAGGCACAGTTCAGTCCACAAGTACCTCTTTGTAGCTTTCTCAGAACTTCCCCTTGAGAAGGCAGTGTTCCACCTACTCTGTGAGGATACTTGGGAAAGCTGTACACTGTCACGATATGATATTTGGATATGTAACAATTTTTTATGATCTTGCCAGGACAGAACAAGGATAACACAGTATCGGGTGCACAAGTAGGCACTGGGGCTGGTGTGTGGTCTTACGAGAGATGGGGCAGAACCCCCTTGCTTTCTAACGCTGCTCAGCACAGTGGGAGGCTGGTGTGGCTGGACTCTGCCTTTCCTCTCCTGGGATAAGCCACACAGCAGCTGCACCCTTTGTTGTCCAGCAGGACCTGTGAAAAGGTTTAAAGGGGATCCCAGATGGTGAAATTAAGATGCAAACGAGGTTAGATGTCACGTGCACACCAAACTTTATTGGAGTAGCACAACAAAGTCCCTAGAGCGGATAGGACAGGGTGGAAAACAGAGACAGAAAATAAAGAAGCAACAGAAATACAGAGGACAGCAAGCGAGAGAATAGTTACCATCACAGTCCAGCGATGTTGTCAGTGGGGAAGTGCTTCCCTGGAACCAATATTGTCCCAGATTTTTATACAGTTCTTCCCCTTCCCCCCCACCCTTTTCTCCCTGTACAGGGGAGAAAATCATTCTGTCTTCTCTGTGCTCCTCCAAGATAGGAGGGAGTGTGGTGCCGGGGCTATGTCCTGCAGATAGTCCTTGTTTGGCTAATTAATAAGATAAGCCATTGCAAAACAGGAGGTTGAGACAACTGGCACTGCAGGATTAGTTTATTGCAGTGGAGGCTTGGTCCTAGGAGGCGGCTTGAGACTGTCATTCTTCATCTTTTCCTGCTAAGTTTGTAGTTTTCATGAAATATCAAAGCCTGGTTACTGCTGGATATTCTGCTCCCAGCAACAGTTGTAGAACCCCTTTGTCTCCAATCTCAGCATGTCCCACACTAAACTCACCAGCTCTCAGGTACACATCACAGGGGAGGGGAGTAAAACGGTTTGGTGGGTTGCTGAGACATCTCTTTAGTCCATCAAAAGTCTTGTATAACTCTTAGATGTCTGAAGACAAAACAGATATCCTGAGTGCATAAGTACACCACTTACCTCTTGGATTGTTTGAGACAAGCACTGTACATCCTGAATGTCACATAACACCCTAAGGATTTTCTTATCTAAACCTTTGTGCTAAGGTTTTCATGACTTTCTGTCCATCTGTTGTATTGTTTTGTTGGGGTTTTTTTCTTACAGAATGCCATTAAAAGCAGCTAGTAAACTTGCGTTCTCTATACTTGAACTGAATCAGCAAGTTTAGTTCCACTGAAATGCATCTGCCAGACAAATCTTGGTCCCTTTGGGTAGAAGCATAAATAGCATTGCTGATTTGAAAACATTTTCTTGCTCTCAGGAGATGTAAAGCTGCTACAGAAGCAGTGACACTATTTTCTGTGGTGGGCAGTAGTAGAATTTTTATGTTATGAAGTAGGTATCATGAACTCCAGAAGGCCTCTGGAAGAAAGTTTAAGGGTGATTTTTTTCTGTGAGTGTGTGTTTTATCTCTCAAGCTGTGGCCTCATCTCGTCACTTATAGAGTGTTTGTTCTTTCCACCAGCTTCAATTGCTGTTCTTGGTTACCTAAAGTGTGTTTAACCTTAACTGCAGCTCTTGTATGTAGCAAAGAGAGCTTAGGCCTATTTCCATGTACGTTACTGCTTTTTATTGCAGTGTTATCTCTCTGGTCACCTTAGGCTTTCTTTTTTCCACTGTTTCTTTTTCAGATGCAAAAGCAGAATGTGCTGACTCTGACATCAAAGGACTTGCACAGCATGTGGGAAGAGCAGTTGAAGTTGAGATCGCACCTTGAAGAGCGTATTGCTCAGCTTGACAGGGAAAAGGCTGAACTCTTGGAACAGGTGAGTCCAGGAAGTTCTCCAGATGACTATCCAATACCCTGGAGAACCTTGTTCATCTTTTCATCAAGTATACAATCAGCTTTTTCTGGTATTTCTGCTATTGATGACCATCTTGTGATTTAGGGATCATCCAAGAAAGAAAAGCTAGCTGGTTATCTTAGTGTAAATTCTGGAGCAGTTCTGTTGGGAAGAGCTCCCAGTGGGGTTTGCTATCAGTTGAGCACATCAAGCAAGGCTGCATTTCCCCAGTTCTTTCTTGGATTCCTTCTGCTCACCTTCTGACCCCTTGGTTTCTGAGCGGAGTTAAAATGCTTCATGTTTCCACTTCAGTGTATGCAGCAGCTACTGCATGTTTTCAGGATAGTGGTAGCTTAAAGCCTTTCAGGAAAACATACTGAAGGAATTCAGAAGAGGTAAACTAGTGCTTGGGAAACAAGAAATGGTTGTCAGTTTCCAAGGTGTGGTCTTTTCTCCTTTTCTGTAGAGGAAAAATGTAAGAACAAAGTTAAAACAGCTGCCAGCTCTTCACTGGTTTGTTTGAGAAAACACAAGAAAGAACAACTTGTGAACAAGTAAACACCCACAAAGAAAAGATGGAGATAATGGCAGAGGGCAATGAAACATTGAAGAGTTGCAAAATTCTTCCACAAGCCCTTTCTGCTGGTTGTTGGAGATCCCCTGAAAGCTTTAGATAGACCTGTTTTCTCCCATGATGTACAATCTGCTGTGAGCAGACAGACTCCCACAAGTGTCCTCCAGCATCTTTGCCACTTTTCTGCCCTTGCTTCAGATACTGTTCCTATGCTGTGTGTGTCATCTGTCTTTTCTCTTTGGAAAGTGTGACAGTGAAAGACAGAAAGCAAAGAAGCTGACAGAGTTGAAGCACTCAGTCGAACTGCGTCTGGACCAAGAAATGGAAAGAAACATCGAGCTGCAGAAAGACTGTAAGAGGTGCGACTTTTTAATATCCCTGACTGCAAGTCAGACTTTGTTGAACTTCAGTGTAAAAACAGGTGTACATAACTGTTTGTGAGTGAATTCAAGCCTCATGTCAGTTCTTGCAAGACACTTCTGTATGTGAGGCTGTAGGCTTCATTCAAGAGCTGCAAATCCAGGTTGCCCTGTAGTTTTCGGGGGGGGCAAGTCTGAATCCTCTTATTTTGGGTGAACTTTGGACCCTCAAGATGATTTGTGACAGAGGAATGCTGGTTTTTTTCAGTAATTTCAATTGCATCAAGCACATTAAAGATTAAGCGAGCCCTGTCTGTACACAAGCATATGTGGAAAAGGTCAGTTGTTCCTGTACTTCATTGTTTTATTGACTAATTTTCTGTGCAGGTTGAAGAGACTTCTGAGCAGAGCTACAGGGAAACTAAGGGAATATGAGGAGAGAGAAAAAGTGTCCCAGCTGAATTTGCAGGGAGAAATAAGGAACAGGTATTCTGAAATGGTCACTGAAGTTGGTACGTTAAGAACAAAGGTGAGCTCTGATTTCTTTGAGTTTTTTTGGTGGTAGTGATTTTTTTCCTGAAACCTGTGTTATTCTTTCCCTCCACTTCTTTTCCTGTTGTTGATT